GATTAAAAAAATAATTAAAAAGTTTCGATTTTCATTTTCAAATAGCTAACAATAATTAAATATCTAACTAATCAAACCGCTGAATCAATTATTCATAGATCTATTAAAAAATTAATTGAATCAATGATAAAAATGAAAATTCTAACTCAATTTAAACAATTACCAATTTAATTACGTTTAAACCTTGTGTAAAAGCTAAAAATTCATTCTAATTCAAATATCACGTCCCTACGTTATTGCTTGAATTAAGTAAACGGAGGGACATGAATAGTCACAAAAAATTTTACAGCGATGGGTATAAACGCGCTGCACGTAAATCGTACTATTTCAAACATGTTATTAAGTTCAAATAAATATAATAAAGTGACGTCACTATCGATCAACCAATAAAGCTATGTTTTCTAATCGAGGAATAAAACAAAAATCTTAATCTCACGGGGTTCGATAAATCTTCCCGTGCGGAAATAGTGATACACTATATATTTTTGGAAGCACGTCACGGGATCAGAAGGCCAACACGAATACTAGCTGTCAAAAAATCATTGTACCGATGCTAATTATTTAATTGAGTCAATTTATTGTGTGAGTTGCTGATAAAGCCAATTAATTTGATTATTGAAGGATGGAAAAACAATCGTTGTATCCAGGTGCTAACAATCCTCCGCCTTACTCGGTCGCCACTGCACCAGTAGGTAAGCAACGAAATTCAAATTCTGTTATTTCGAATTGTTTTGACATTTTAAAATTGACTCAAACTGTGATTTAAATCGATCATCACAATTGAAGTTTAAATCGTTCAATTTGTTTAATCGTTAAATTAGTATCTTTATTTTAAACGTTTATTGTTAATTATTGCGCGCCGTTTTTGTGAAAATGAAAAATGCATTTTTATTCATATTTATTGGAATTTATTTGCATAAAAATGTTAGAAAATTTAAAAAAATATTCCTGTGAAAATTTGTTTATTATTATTGTCATTGGAATTTTTAAATTTGTAATAAAGTGTACTGTACTATTGTTGATGTTGAAACTGTGAAATATTGTATATCGTGTAACAGTGTTATGCAAAACTAAAAGAGATAACTTCCATTATCTATTATTACTTCCATTTAACAAAGATATTCCTTATCCATTATAATTTGCTATATAACCTAAGGCTATATAACCCTTTAGACTATATAATTTAAATTAGTTAGATAATAATTCCCAGAAATGAATTGGTTTGGAATATCTTGCCAAAATAACAACGTAGTTGTATATTGTTTAGTGGAAAAAGAAGCAGAAGTTATAGGAGGCATAAGTAATTAACATAAAATGTACTTTATGTAGTAAATACATCATGGCAACTACCTCCTGGTTACAACTCTATGCAAAGTGAAGACTTGCCTACATCACAACCACCTCCCAGTTACTACTCTATGCAAAGTGGAGGGTCAACTTCATGGCCTCCTCCTCCTGGGTACTATCCTGGCACTGGTGCACCTAGTTCTATGCAACCTACTTATGGTTCTATGCAACCTGCTTATGGTTCTGTGCATTCAACTACAATAGTTCTGCCAAACACTGTTTTAGCTGGAGGATGTCCCGCTTGCAGAGTGAGTATTTTTCTGAAGTGATTAACTTTCATCTTGCCCCTTCCAAATTTGTAAGCTTTAATGTCTTGATAAAAGAGTGAGTAATTAAAATAGACTTTGAAATGTAGGTGGGTACAATGGAAGATGATTTTACATGTCTGGGACTATTATGTGCATTATTGTGCTTCCCCTTTGGAATAATTTACTGCTTGTTATGCAGAACTCGACGTTGCTCTAACTGTGGTGCCTACTTTGATTAATGTGTTACTACATGGTAACATAATTTCAATCAAGTTGAAAGCTAGATGCATTATTAGGCTAATTTTAATGCAGCTTGTGTATATGGAAGCATAACAATATGATGAACTAATTTTTTACTAGTGTTGTGCAACCATGAGAATATATTTAAGATAGTTAAAGGAGAATAATGTTCTGATCAGGGTATGTACAATAATCTGCACTTCATTAATTGTATGGAATACAATTTTGTAAAGTAAGACAATGAATTTAATAAAAATTTCTACTGTTTTGAAAGTCTTATACTTAGGGGTTCTGATTAAGATTGTTATACTTTATCATAGCATATTTTAAGGTAATGAATAATGAAATAGTTTGTATTAATATTATTGCAGATTTTAAAACGTAGTTATAGCATATTTTTTAAGAATTCCTATCAGATGATAAAAATGAACAAGAGAAACTAAAAATTGTTCTGAACAATATGCCTAAATGATAATATTCTAAAAAATACGTTTATATCTAAAACAGATTTAATTGAAATTTTTGCATATTTATATAATTTACAAAGTACTTTAAACTACTTTTTCTAATAATTCATTGAAATTTATAACATATACAATAGTCTCCCTCTTATCCGGCTCCACCATAAACCGGCCTCCGCTTTAACCGGCCAATAGTTTCTGTAGAAATAAATTGTGATTTTTCTACAGCAGTAATGGACTTCGACATAAGACAATCGATACCATTGCACATCATACTCATCGTCAGCCATATCGAAGTTCATTATTGATTTCTTTGTATAAATAAATGTTCAATAAACATTATTTCTTTATATGTTTTTAAATGATATTAATGATATTGTATCACGTATAGGTATACTATAAATAATATTATATAAATACTATATGCATATATATGTATTTTTTATTTTATTTACAACCTATAAGTGATATCGTTGTATTAACTGGCTATTCATTTATGCGGCCAGAGGTCCGGTCCCATACAGGCCGATTAAGAGGGAGTCTACTGTACATATATTTTGCAAAGAATATATTCAATGAAATTTGTACTTGTTGCTTTTAATTAATCTTGTCATTGTTTCACAGTAATATTTGTTAATATTTGTTTGTGCATATAATATATGATAGTAGTCTGACTTTCTAAAATACGTTTGGAACGTGTGATCTCAAGGGAAGTGTGAACAGATCGTTTTACTGATTGTAATCAATTGTTGTAACGGGTGTGAGTGTAATGTAGCAACGAAACTTGTTAATTACTCGCATTGCGATTTATATTTTTATAAAGATGGAAACAATACTTGGGAATATCGAAGCCATTCTAATCGCTCTACTAATATTTGTAAAGATTATCGTCACACGCAATTTGTCAAATCGATATCAGAGGTCTGACTTTCAGGGAACAAAAGAATTGGTTTCTTTCTGGTGGTATATTACGCTGCCCCCCAGGTTCAAGCGAAAAATAATATTAATAAAAAAATATTTAGAAACGTTTTTTAATGCATAATCTGTTAAGTGAAACGATTTTGAGTATCGTGAAATACCAAATACCTGAAAAGGAAAATATTTATCTAATTAAAACTATTAATGATTCATTTATAAGACAACAAAAATGAAAAGAAACGGTGTGTTTGGCTTGTCTAGAAACATATTTGTGTAAAGAATGAAACTGTTATTAAAATAATCATTGTTATCAATTTCTAATGGATTTTTGGAACCCTCAAAAATTTTTGTGCCTTTAATGAAGAGTGCATAGATGTATGGATTTCTAGTATGGAATATCTGTACAGATAAATATTGTGCAATATTTATTAAATGTTACAGTCAAGGCTCCATCATAAATGAATTTTCTTTTCGTTTTTATTTCAGTTCCGTGCATTTCAAATAGTCTATGTATGTTCGTAGTTATTTACAACTGAAATTCGGTACCCATTAGCGGTTGTAATTCAAGAAAGTCTCATCTTAATGTTACCTGACACTGAACACGCAATACGTGAATGATACTTCTGCAATCTTTGGCATGCATATTTATTTATGCATACAGGGTGCTTCACCTAACTTGACGATCTGAAATTGCTCGTGAACTATTCGCTGTACGAAATAGTGTATAACGCAAAAGTCGCATGATTTCAAGAGGGACATATGTTACAATAATTGTTGTTGTTTCTTTTTCCAAAACAATGGAATACCCTATATTTCTTTCCAGAAATTAAGAAAGCATTAAAGGCTAAGTAAATAAATCTTAAGGTGTAATATCTCTAAAATGAGTGTTTATTGAGGTATGTACGATAGAAGTTCTATTCTATTAAAATCGAATTTACTCAAAAATACACAGAAGCATATTTCTCTATCCGTAAATTTGATTTCAGTAGAATAGAACTTCTATCGTAAACATCTCGAATACTCATTTTAGACATATTACACCTTAATATTTATTTACTGAGTTTTTAATACTCTCTTAATTTCCGGAAAGAAATGTAGGGTATTCCACATAAAAAAAATTGTGGTGACCTTTAAAACTTTATGTATAAAAACAATGTAGTCAAAAACAATTATTGTAACATATGTTCCCCTTGAATTTATGCAACTTTTGCGTTATACACTGTTTCGTACAGCGAATAGTTTACGAGCAATTTCAGGTCGTAAAGTTAGGTGAATCACCCTGTATATGTGCCTCGAGAACATTTTTTTTCTCCACGTTATTAGAATCTGCGTAAACATTATCATTTACTAGACAAATGAATTAATAAATTACACATCATTAAATAAGAACTTAAATTTTTCTCTAACACAGGTAGTATCGATAATGTTTCTACGTGTGAAAATTATCACTGTCGAGGATTTTCTTTTTGCAATTCATGTCAAACGTTCAGTCTTTTTTCAGAATACCTTCATCGGGTCAAAATTTCTAAAAAGACAGGTTTACAGGTATTTAATTGTTGAACGCCATCCGATTGTATATTAGAGACGCCACTAGGTGTTCAAAGATCATTAGTAAACTGCAATTTACATACATACATACAATTTACAGGCACAATGAAATTATATATTGGAATGAATTTTGAATAATGCATCTGATGTTATGATATCAAAAAAATTATGATATGAAAAATTTTAATTAAGAGGTGTCAATTTTAATTGTGTATAATTTATAGGAAAAAAAATATAGTCTTAGAGATTATAATTTAGTAACCAAAAATTGAGCTACTAGGGTGCAAATATTTCTCACAGCCAGTCGGCACGATATACTGGCTCAGAATTTTAACAGAAACTCTTTTAGTGTAACGTAGTTTCCCAATTTATCAAGGCTCTGCCGCGATATCCGTTAGAAAAAGAGGTAGGAAAGGAGAAGTAGTCGCATAAATCCCAGTGAATAGACACGCTGAAGGTAATTAAAACGCAACAATGTTGTCCTTGGTCCGCGGGCATTAATACGTATAAAGGAAACTGTACGAGCACCTCGGGAGCAGATCGAGGAAAACCTCGGCGCGCAACCATGCCCGCTAACGAGGAAATTCTGAGCGCGCCCCTGCAACAATCACTGGACAATTTCCTGGGGAAAGCTTGTGTTAATGGCTGTGTGTCCTCTAACGACGATGAAGATGACTGCCAAAAGTGTTGTCTAGGCTCCAACTTCAAGCAGAATGGCAAGGAAGAGTGTCAGTACAAGAGTTTTCCAGTGAGGGAGGTCCATGAGAAGTTCATGAGAAGCTTCATCGACTTACTTCTGGAAGATGCAGTTTTTAAGGTAAGAGTATTGTTAATGTTCACTGTAGAGACAAGACAGATACAATTTGGAAATTGTTGGAGCAAACCAGTATGTAATTGGATAAGTTTGATACTTCGAGTTGGTTCATCTTGAGTGGAAAAGATGTATAATTGAGTGTTTTTACAATATGTTAGAAAGTTTGAAACAACTTCAGGGTTAGGTTTTTTGAATTTTATACTGGTATTTAAAGTATTTTGGTACTTATAAAATTCTTTGAAATTCATTTTAGTTATGAAAATTAATTGTTTAATTAATAAATAAGCTGTTTAAAAGTTTTTCTTCCTTTATGATATTCATTCAATTGTGAAGTGATTACTGTGAAGAAGTCAATAGCATGATATGTGTGTGTGTAGTAGAACTACAGTTCATTGCTACATTTAATTTTCCTATCAATATTGGTTCAAATATTATCGCAATGGAAATTAAACAATAACGGGGAAAAAACGGAGGTATAAAAACACTTGCAAGTTCAACCGAGGAAAAACGCTACGCTTTAACATGTTTGATAATAATAAAATTTTTATTAGTCTCATAAGTATTTCCAGACTGAAATGTATCCTGTCACTGACGTGTCCAGTATTATTTAGTGACGCGCAACACGTTCCATTTTCCTTGTAGATCCAATAAAACTTTCACTTACTTCTTCTGCTTATCTTATCAATTACTTATACCAATGATATTTTAAATTAATTCTGATAGAATATATATTATTTTTTCCAAAAAGTTGAAATTTTAGTTTTTCATCTTTTTCTATATCAATTGTTTTTGAAATACTACGAAGTTATAGTATTAAATGCAAACCATTTTGAAAGGTGGTTTTGTGGTTTGGCTGGATTTTGTAACGAAATTGACAAAAACCGTGGTTCTCGACAAGTTATGTAAAATATTGTTACACGTGAATGCTCGCGTTTTTTTCACTTCATAGCCATTCACTTTGAAGTATACCATTATAATACTTTTTACTCTTTCTTTCCTGCTTTCACTTCTTTCACAACTCGTGAATATAAACATTGTCACTCAGCTCTTCAAATTTGAACACGATCACGCAATTCAAGCGACTATTTTGAAAACAAACATACATGTATTTTACATATAATTGTTTCCTTTTTTCATTTTCTTCCATCCAAGTCTCTGTTTGTATTGTCTGATGCAATTTTAATTTACAATTGAGGGGAATGCTAATAACCAAGTGTATTCATGAGCAACGATTTCATTGATTCACCTAAAAACTCATTTTCCCCCTTCTCTTCAAATGAACGTGACTCAAACGATCGTTACGCGAGTTTTTTGCGCTCGTTAATAGGTCTCTCTGTCAATTCATGGACAAAGAATTACGTCGCAATTGAATCCACGTTACTCCAGTTGCAGAGCTGCCTACCCGAACAGATGAAGTAAAAATTGTGTCACGGAATAAGAAAAGTTGATTGCTAATGCTAATTCATGAAAGTTTCTAAACTGGAATTGTATGAAGCGGATGATATGCTAATTACAATTTCAGAAAGTGTAGTAGACATAATAACATCGTGGAATACTTTTTAAATATTTTCTGGAGAACTCTTCAAAATTGATTTAACAATTTTTTCAATCTTCTGTGGTGAATGATAATGTTCAGAAAAATTTAAATGGCCATTCTTCTGCATCTGAAATAAATTTGAGAAATTATATTCTAAAATTAAATTTAAAAACTCGTAGGTTCATTATTTTTCACCTTTCAGGGGACTGCGAGAAAAAATAGAGTGGTGGAATGGATGGAGCCATCCGCCCTTCATTCAGCCATCGACTTGAATCTCCAAGACCAGGGAGTGTCTCACGAAGAGCTTTTCTCGTTAGCTCGTAACGTGATCAAGTACAGTGTGAAAACAGGTCATCCTCGATTCGTGAATCAATTATATTCCAGCGTGGATCCGTATGGTCTCCTTGGACAATGGCTGACCGACGCTTTAAATCCTTCAGTCTACACTTACGAGGTCTCTCCGGTATTTTCCTTGATGGAAGAGGAAATACTGCGTGAAATGAGGAAAATAGTTGGCTGGAAGGATGGTAGAGGTGAAGGGATATTCTGTCCTGGTGGTTCCATTGCCAATGGCTATGCAATCAACTTGGCGCGTCATTATAGGTACTACTTCTTCCTTTTTTCTCTTGGTAGACTTGGATTTATGAGACTTGAAGGTTCTAACCATTATAATTTATAGGTTTCCCCAGTTGAAGGAACTGGGTATGACCAGTGCTGGTAGATTGATAGTATTCACATCCCAAGATGCTCACTACTCTGTGAAGAAACTCAGTGCATTCTTGGGAATAGGTACCAGCAATGTCTGTGAAGTGAAAACTGACAATAAAGGAAAGATGTGCATGGTAGACTTGGAAGCACAGATCAAGAGAGTTCTGGAAGATGGTGCAACTCCATTGATGGTCTCTGCCACAGCAGGAACCACTGTTCTGGGTGCCTATGATCCTCTGAGAGACACAGCAGCTATTTGCAAAAAGTACAACATGTGGTTTCATGTTGATGCAGCCTGGGGAGGAGGAGCTTTGATGTCGAAGAAATACCGACATCTTTTGGATGGTGCAGAACTGGCAGATTCTATTACTTGGAATCCTCACAAACTTCTGGCTGCTCCTCAACAATGCTCAACACTGTTACTACGTCATGAAGGTCTCTTGCAGGCTGCACATGGTCTGAAGGCCAGTTATCTCTTCCAACCAGATAAATTCTATGATACTTCCTTTGATAGTGGAGATAAACATATGCAGTGTGGTCGAAAGGCAGACGTATTAAAATTCTGGTTCATGTGGAAGGCGAAGGGCACTCGAGGTCTTGAGAAGCACGTGGATCGTGTCTTCGAATTGTCGCGGTACTTCACGGATTACATAAGGCACAGAGAAGGCTTCAAGTTGATGCTTGAACCTGAGTGTACTAATGTTTGCTTCTGGTACGTGCCGCCCTCTAAGCGTCACTTGCAGGGTGAGGAGTTGTCGAAAGTCTTCCAGAAAATTGGGCCAGCAGTGAAAGAGCGTATGGTGAAGAAGGGGTCGATGTTGATCACGTATCAACCTCAACGCGAGTTGCCAAATTTCTTCAGGTTGGTTCTGCAGAATTCTGGACTGACTGAAGCGGACATGAGGTTCTTCGCAGAAGAAATTGAGAGGCTCGCCAGTGATTTATAAAATTTCTAAGAATTACTCTTTGTAAAAACTCTTAAGTTAAAGATGTAGCATGAAATTCTATATTTAGAATTTATTGAAGTAGAGAATTTTTGTCAACTGCAAAAACTCGCAATAAAATACTGTTTAATAACGATCAGTCGATTAGCATGTAGAGTACAATGATAGCTTTATTTTCTGACTCACTTCTCTTCAGAAAATTGTTCCATAATAAATTTCATTGCTGGTCTCTTTTAAGATTACAATAAACTTTCATCTCAAGGTGGGGATTGTTTAAACAACAGATACACGTTAAAAGTGCGGTCATTGAAAAAGGCATACATAATTAATTACATAATATTGTCACGTCATATAGGATCATATTCGAATGAACACTCGATAGTTTAAAATTCTCCTTAAACAAATAATGACTCCTCGTTCCATCAAGATCTTTGATGTGACCTTTGCAGTCATGAATCATATACTTATTTATTATGCATGGATTAGTTAACTCTGACGTCCTATTTGTGAGATCTTTATTGTATCAATAAAATATTCAAAAATGTGTTAGTACTTTTTCATTCATATTTATCTATTTTCTTTTAAATTAGTGTTGGGTGTTGTTTTACAATGGTGTGTGGTTATCGTATATTTTTTTTGTGAAGTCAGTTTTCGATTAGTGGATGTAATTTTTTTATTAACATCGACGATCTTGGACAAATGTGAACACATAAGTCTCCTCTGGTGGGTGAATCTCATTTTACGTATATGGTCTGTACATCTGCACATAAACACTAAAACCATTTTTATCCATATTATACTGCCTATAAGTGATAAAAATTCCACCAAAATAAATTACTTGTAACACAAATTTCAGATGCAAACAGCGCGAACGTGTAATATTGATCTGATAATACCGTTGTGAGTATTATAAAAACATACTAATATCATGTTCATCTTGTATCACATGTGCAAACACCCACCGTGCATTTCTCATTTTATGGAAAAAAAAGAAAAAGAAAGGAGCTCATCGATTCGTATATCATACAATCTCTTAATCGTAACTATAAATTCATTCTATTTACAAATATTTCGATGAATTTCATTCATATAAAATCTCTATCCTCTCTGTGTCAAATCTTGTGCCGATGACCGAACCAACATAACCTCAAAATCCCCTCTCTTGTAATTTCTTATTACAAAATGCAAAACGATAATGTAATATCTCACATAAGCTTTAATACTGATCCGCGTATCGTGACCGTAGCACATCGAGGATAAAATTAAAATGCATAAAAGTTCCATTGTATCATTATTTGTACTCTGCAAGGAACTTAAGATGGAACTGCCTTAGACTCTCGAGCATTATTTTTATTTTCTCCTTCTGCGGTAAAATTGTTGTCCTGAAGTGATAGGTTCCTGGCCGTTGTCCAAAACCTGAGCCGGGTATCACACATATTCCAGTGGACTCTAACAGTTTGAAGGCGTAAAAGACATCAGGCTGTTGGCCTTCCTTTTCTGCAGCCTCTATGGCTTTCTTTGGGAGGTCAATTCGTGGAAACACGTACATAGCACCCATGGCTGGATTAACCTATAAAAAAATCAAAGGTATGTATTTCTAAAGCCTTAAATGTAATAAATTACTGCAAATGTTATGAACTGCCTTAAAATACCTTAAAACCTGGAATGCTATTCAGTGTATCCACCACCAATCTGGACCTCTCGGCTAAAGAGCGCAAAGTGTGCTCTTTTTCTTTCATGAATAACTCATAGGATGGTTCATTGGGTTTAGGTGGGTTCACCACAACGTCCATCACCACCTGACCCAAGACACCTGGACACAGCATGGCTGAGATTGATTTTAACAAAATTGCCATTACTTTAGAATCCATATTGATAATTTCCCCGTACCCGCCGCGGATTCCACACTCTCCCATATAACCTGAATCATACCAAATATAGAAATATTATTACTATCAAGAATGATCTAGCAATTAGAAATGTACCTTTAGACACAGACATGAAGGAAGCTAGCTCCATTTTACAATAGGGTTCTCCCATCTCCATCATTACTTTCTTGAACGAGTGAAAGGCACTGTCTTTATCATACACATTATCCTGATAAACTTCATCAGCCAGCAGAAATAGACGGTTCTTATAGGCGAACCGAATAATATCCTCAATGTTGGTGCGTGTGAGGACTTGTCCAGTTGGGTTACCAGGATTTATTACCACCAGCACGCGAGGATTGCATATTCTCCTAGATTCACTTAATGCTCTATCCAATTCAGAGATGTCCAATGCCCATTTGTTCTCTTCATTTAGATAGTAACCAATCTGGGCCAGGCCAAACTCAGCTAGAGTGGCAGAGTACAAAGGATACTGTGGAATTGGGATCATCACTCCTGATGGTTTTCCATCTAGCTTCTCATTGAACAGCTTTAGGAAGGACTGTAACATAAATGCAATGCAAATGACTACAGAAAAAAGATTGAGATTTACATTGCAATGAAATGTCACATTACTGTATAATTGAATTTAAGGAAAATAAGTGAGAAAAATAATCTGCACACTTTGATTCCATCTGAAGCACCATTGGAGAGAATGATGTTATGGTAATCTGAGGAGATTCCATCACGGTCCTGAATGTACTGGGCCACGTGCTTGCGGATGATCTCGATTCCCGCCGATTCTGAATACGATCCAACGCTGCCCCCCTTACACTGGTACAGGATGATCTTAGCCCGTTCTTTAGCGTCTGCCGGATAGCTGGGATCGCTGAGAAGATTCGGCGACACTGTCAGGGTCAGTACTTGCCTCAAGAAGGTGATGGGCTGTTGACCCATGGCGTGTGCATCTCCCACGTTGGCCTTTATCACCTCCTTGAATGGTTTTTTGGCCCCCTGAAAAATTACAATTAAATTAGTAAACGTTAAAAAAAATGTTACAGAACTGTAATGATTTGGTGAAATATTAAGCCCATCGACATGTAGCCCATCGATATGTAGTACATACATATTTTACAGTTTGCTTTTATTAGATATTATATTTAGTCTGTGCGCCGAGTAAAGAAAAAGCTTATCATGGGTGTGAGTATTGAATCTTCCTGCTCTTATTAAACGAACGTAAAAACGATCATTATAATTTTTTTTCATTTTACGATAAATGTATATAGTATTCTTTTAAGCTTCTTTTTCTAGCGTTTTTTATGCACATATTGCCCAACTTTTTGCAAGTCTGATAGAAGTAAAGGATTACGCAATACGGAATGATTTATAACGCTGTACATTAGAGTATAATAAGCACCTAAGTGGTACTGATAAGGCTAAGCAAGGAATTAAACTGGATTCAATTCTAGTTCCTTGATTACTCTAAGAGGATACTATTTCAAAATCACAATGGAACCATAGTGAATTTTAAAATCTAATTTTTTTATAAATCATATTCCTATATTCAAAACAGTTTCCAATTTTTCCTGACAAATTTTACAATTTTGTTATCTAATATTTCTTTAATAAATTTTCCTAGCGATTCAATGATAGTTTCAGTTCACACTTATATTCCAAAGTGAGATGTACATTCTACACATTAACACGATCAACGTTGGCACTACTAATTCGTTATGACTCAGAACAATTCCGCATCATCTGACAAGCCGCAGCCAGCCTTGGTAATCATTTATCAAGAAAGTCACGTAGGTACTTTTCGATGCAGATAATCGATACAGGATCACCTTTTCTATGTACAATTTTCATTTACTTTGCCCTTTGTTATTTTAAATAAAACATACCCTATTTAATATACAGGATGGCTAAGCGATAAAGCAACTGATAGACCACCCTGTACTTCCTGGAAATTCAGGAGCATATCAATTGTTTACTTTATGAAGAAATAGTAAAAAATAGTTTAATCTTCAAACATGATATTTTCGATAGTAGTGACGTGTAGTGGCCACTTGTAATAATATTTTGACCATTGGAACACGTAATGAATATTATTTACGTGTAATGTGATACTGGTAGCCAGATGATGGTCGTTACAAGCCCAGCACATATTTATCTATCTCGTTAGTTTATGGTATCAAATTACACGGACAAACAACAGGTTACTCATACGGTTCTTATGACCAACCTTGTTTCGGATATAAGCAATTAACCCTAAAATGAGTTACATTCGACGGGGCAACGAGATTGATCATACGGTTAAGCTGTCGTGATTAATAAAAGAATCATTGTCCTAAATTTATTGGAAATTTGTTTAAATTTTAACTACATTTCAAATAGTACACATTGTACACTATTTTTATGCTTCTAACGACAATTACTATTTTCTAACGTTAATTGCGTCATTTATATGCTTGCTGTATTGTATTATCAAAAAGTGTAAGAACATTGAAAATGCAAATTTATGAACTCATAATTCGAAGCTATTTACGAGGAAATAAAATGCACCCTCTAAAAAATATTAATATTTTTGCGTTATTATTTTAGAGTTGGTTTGCACCAATAGAAACGTCAATTGACACTATTTTTAGTCGTTCACACCTTGAGATTAACCTCCGCGACAGGTGGTTCCAACCATATTGTCAATAGAAACCGATAGAACTTAATTGAGAATCTGTTGTTCAGGAGTAAAATATTTTCATTTAGTTAGAATATTTTTAGAGGCCAAAAAAATATTTTGAAATATTGTTTACGCATTGTTATACGTCAATGTCATCGCATTTGAAAGCGAAATTAGGATTCCTTAAGAACGTAGTGTGATAATTATTGTAAATCATGAGCATTTGGCATGCTAATTCAAAGCAGCAGGAACTTCTTTCCAAGAAATCATTTTTTCAGAATGTTAAAATATTTCAAATGAATTTTACATGTTCTACATTCCTTTATCTGGAGCTATCTACGCATCGCTTATTGTTATCTCCTGAAGTCAAAACAGAACGGCAGAAATTCTCCGAAGATTAATCACAGAACTACTAACTTCTGCCAGTGGATTTCGCAATGTTAAGGAATCGAAACATAACCTCTATAAGCAACCCCTATATTCGCGATACTCTGCCAACAGTTGCACGCTTTTCGCGTTACTTTATTCCTGTTCCAATATTTCCTTTCATTTACATCGTGTATGTGCAACTACACAGAAACCTAAGAAACAAACCTATCATCTATATGCTTGATCCTTGTAAAAAAATTCGCGAATTGTCAGTCTGTGCGCGTCCATTTAAAACGCCGGATCGATTTCCTCGGTAGCGTTCGATACAGCTTCAAGAAACGGGCCAGTGGAAGAGTGCATTGACTTTTTGCCATCTGCGAACATCGTTTCTTACCTTTTGGAGCTCTTTCTCGATCTCAAGGGCGCGTAGAAGGAGGGGCCCGCGCACCGCGTATTCCATTTTCCGGAGGTTCGTGAACACATTGTCCTCGGTGAGGATCTTGCTTCCGGGCACACCACTTGCCATGCCGCGACGGAGTGCTCTGCCGACAGCCGGCCACTGGACTGCCGTCTCCGCGACCGTCAGCCGTGCGGACGATCTGCCTCCCAGCGTCCCTGACCCCGCGGACCTGGTCACCCGTTGTTCCCACGTCCTAGGCCGACTGCTTGCGATAACAGCGTTCCACCAGCGTGCCTGCGGCATCGTTCCACACCGACCGGTCCTCTCTCTTCGCCACAGGTTCAATCAGTCGACCAAACAATTTGGTGATGTATTCGTGAGATCCACGGGGGCGAGGGCGCATGCGCGGCACACTGTAAGCAAACGTCATATGCGCATACACTACAAGTAAAAAGTTTGGAAGAGCTGTATGAGTCTTAACAACTCATTGTCCTGTAGCAAATTGAACTCGATGATCTACTTTATTTCAGTTCTTTCAGTTGCCGATGTATTAATAGTTGCTAGTTGCAGAAACATGAAAATATAGATAAATTATAAAGTGCTCTTGAAAATAGATCGTTAAATACGGAAGGTGTGGGCTGAAGGCTAGATCGCAGAAAAAATTTGCGAAGTGACCGTTTATGGTCAATTTTAGAACTTATTGGGTTTATTGTGCATTGTTAGTAACAAATCTATGAAGGGGCGATAGATGTTAATTGAAACAACGACCACACGATAAAAATATCGAGGAAAAGTTAACAAAATCTTTATCATAAAATGGTCAAATTAATCGTTCATTTTTAAAGCTGAATATCTGTTTTGTAATACTGCATCGAACTTTTGGTCAGTAGTGTAAACAGCTGAACGGAAAAACGATATATTTGTCTGCAGACGTATATGTGATATATTCGGATATGATATGCGTTACGTAATTTGGGAATATTTTGAAAGTATCGCTTGGGACTACCTGTAGGTGGTGAATTTGTCGACGTTTGGTTTGTGTATGCACTTTAGGCCGAATGGTCGAGTATTTGGTGGATGAAACGTTATGCAACTTGCGGGAGTCTCGCGATTAGTCGAACACACCTGTTAATTGAATTTTCGGATCGAACCACGCCGAATCTCAGCGAAATTGCCGCACACGCGCGGTAAACGAAAGAGGATAATATTGGGTCCAGGAGCGTATAAATTCGATGGTCAAATTTGGGAGCCCTAACTTAAATAAGTATATGTAATAATATTTATAAAGAACATTAACAACATTAATAATATCGATAATGTTGATAATATTAATATTATTAACGATAGTAATAGTATAATTAATATT